GCTTTTTTCTCGATCCAATCACAGCTAACAAGTTAGTTGCAGGTGATGCAGACGAGGACGATGATGAAGACGATTTGTTTACTTCACCTCTCCTCTGATGATTTAATGATCACAATCAGGCTGCTGGAGTTAATGGAGACACTTTGCTGCTCCTGTCTTCAGGTACTGATTCCAGGAAAAACATTTATATTTTTCAAAGTTATAGAAAAGCTATTTTTACCTCCATGGCAGCGTGAATTTAAAGAGTCCTCTCCTGCTGATGTTCAGGTGTATATCAGTATGTAGTGTCTCTACTTTAAAGAGTTCTCTCCTGCTGATGTTCAGGTGTATATCAGTATGTAGTGTCTCTACTTTAAAGAGTCCTCTCCTGCTGATGTTCAGGTGTATATCAGTATGTAGTGTCTCTACTTTAAAGAGTCCTCTCCTGCTGATATTCAGGTGTATATCAGTATGTAGTGTCTCTACTTTAAAGAGTCCTCTCCTGCTGATGTTCAGGTGTATATCAGTATGTAGTGTCTCTACTTTAAAGAGTCCTCTCCTGCTGATGTTCAGGTGTATATCAGTATGTATTGTCTCTACTTTAAAGAGTTCTCTCCTGCAGATGTTCAGGTGTATATCAGTATGTAGTGTCTCTACTTTAAAGAGTCCTCTCCTGCTGATGTTCAGGTGTATATCAGTATGTAGTATCTCTACTTTAAAGAGTCCTCTCCTGCTGATGTTCAGGTGTATATCAGTATGTAGTATCTCTACTTTAAAGAGTCCTCTCCTGCTGATGTTCAGGTGTATATCAGTATGTAGTGTCTCTACTTTAAAGAGTCCTCTCCTGCTGATGTTCAGGTGTATATCAGTATGTAGTGTCTCTACTTTAAAGAGACAAAGGCAGACATATTCCTATTGACCTCTGAAATGTCAGAATTGACCAATCAGAATCGAGTATTCAACTGAGCTATGTAATAATATATAATAATGGCGGATGTGGGTGGCTTCAAATATGTCACAGACTTTATAATTGTAGATAAATCAAAACATAAATACCTCACTCTTCATATTAATGTGTGAAGAAACTATATTCAGGTCTGGCATCATCAGCGCCGGGTGTCTTGTTATTATTGCACATTATAAAAGGTGTGACATTTTAATGAATAGGAGAAATCTAATCTTAGTATCGTTAGCAGGGAGAAAGAAAGCAGGAATAATTAGCTCTATAGCTTTTACACAATGAGACAGGTTTCCTCGAAGGGATGACGATGAATGGAAAGTAAGCGCTTTGTGCACCAGGAAAAGCGCTATATAAATAACATGTATTATTATTATTATTAAACCTTTGCACACACACATATCCACACAGATATTCACACACAAAAACACATACACATTCACAACCTATAGGTGGAAACATGAATACACACTTGCAAACCTTTTGGGTGTAAAAGCACAGAGGTACAAAGAAGTATTTGCAGAAATATAATTCTTGTTTGGACAAATAATCAAAATCGATCTACGTAGCAGAACTGTTTTTTATTTAAATCCTTCTTCTGCCTTACATTCACGAGCTGTTGTGGCTCAGGATTCTAGATGATCGTGCATCAATCAGAGGGTCGTTGGTTCGATTCCAAGCCCCTTTAGTCAGAATGTTGAAGTGTCCTTGGGAAAGATACCTTAAACTGTGAGAAAAAGGGCTTTGAGAGGTCGCATTTACAGACATATTTCCTTTCATTTTAAGACCTGTAGTCTTTACACTCAACAGACACTGACTCACCATCAATTCAGACAGTTTATCAGACTCTATGGAGCTCCCTCTGGAGCCACAAAAGGCTTCACACAACTCATTTTCACATATGCAGTAAAACTCCTGAGCCGTCCCCTTCCTCTCTTCAGTAGAAAGTACATCACACACATTATTAAGTTTTCCTACTGTTGGCAGAGTTAGTCTGTCTCATAAGTGTAAGGGTTTGTCAGTATATCTGAAAGTAATAATCCAACAACAGAGACAGTTGTTCAACTTTATAATCCTGAACGTTACCAAGCGCTCCGTCCCAGCTGTGTGCATCACTTTTTAGTGTCCCCTGGTCTCCCAGCTGTGTGCATCACTTTTTAGTGTCCCCTGGTCTCCCAGCTGTGTGCATCACTTTTTAGTGTCCCCTGGTCTCCCAGCTGTGTGCATCACTTTTTAGTGTCCCCTGGTCTCCCAGCTGTGTGCGTCACTCTTTAGTGTCCCCTGGTCTCCCAGCTGTGTGCGTCACTCTTTAGTGTCCCCTGGTCTCCCAGCTGTGTGCGTCACTCTTTAGTGTCCCCTGGTCTCCGTTGTGTTTGAGCTTCTTCAGCGTTTGGTTTCTGCAGCTTTTAGTAAACGCTGCACATGTTTCCTCAAGTTGCTGAATGTTCTCTAAATGCTGCATTGTTTCTGAAGCTGCAGCACGTTTCTCCTGATGGAAGAGTTTTGGGTCGTTGTAAAGCGTTTGCGACCTTAAAAGAGCTAGTAGTGTAGCGACAGTAGTGTCCAGTCCATCATAATAACAAGTATAGATGCTAAAACCCTTTATGATGGATTACATGAGATAATATATCCCCTACACAGTTTCACCACATCAGCAGACGATGTCCAGTAGTTAATAATTGTCTCTCTGGAAACGTCCTCATTGCTCTCATCTCCACTGATGAAAAAATAAATTTTACAAATCCAACGAGTAATGAAAAGTGGTTTTATAGAACTGATTACATTAGCATTGCTATCTGCAGTGGGAATCAGACTCAATCATATATAATCAGCTAGATAAAACAGCAGAAATATACTCATTCTGTCAATTGGTATGCATCATTGGTAAGAGCTGCCTCTGTATTGCCAAGATGGGAATTGCAAATGAGATTTTTAATGAAAGTTATATACCTGTATGCCCCTCTCAGTTTATAGCGACTGTGTGTGTGGCTATGAGTTTGGAAATGAGTTTGGCAGAGGAAGTGTAGGATTCAGATGAGTTAACAGAAGAAATGAGCTGCTTCCTGAATATAAACTCAGTCCATATGAACTGTCTCCGAGGCCCAGACACATGAAGACATTTTTTAAATATCCAAAGGTTATTTCTGACCTTTTCAATTTTGATTGGCTTTCAGGAGCTCGGGCTAAGTGTTGTCGTTCCTCCCACTGAAACTTAAAATTCAATTATTTGTGAAAGATGTGAGACTCTTAGATGGCTTGCTGCCAGCGTAATGGCATGAGGACGTGCACAGGGGTGACGGATTTAGTTCCTTCAACAAAGATCAATTAATTGAGTGAGTTAGAGAAGCTGAAATGTGGGTCTTACTGAGAGGCACATGATTATTCATTCCTTTATTTGCTTTTGACTTGTTCATGATCTCATGGGACTACAGTAGATCCCAGCATGCATTGGAACTACAGTGCATGATAACATAATATATCCTGTTGATGACAATCGGTTTTTGAATTGTCCTTTCAAGGGTGCCCTTCAAGTGGAGAAACCTGATCAATCGCCTTTTATGATGCCTTTACATTGAAAAAAAACATCATTAAGGGCCCCCTTTGGCGACTTCAGAGTAGAGAACACTTGATGAAGTGCCATCTAGGGTGGCTTTTATGCAGAGAAAATACACTCAATCTGGTGCTTTTCCAGTAAAGCAATCCCGATAAGGTCATCTAATACATTGAATACTGTGGACAATACCGACAGGAACAATTTAGGGTGAAGTGTCTTGCCCAACGGCATGTTGAGTGCAGTGGTGGTCAAGGTACCCTTTCAATGGAGATGATGGAGAAAACATCAAGTTCCCTCTATGGTGCCGTTGCGGTGAAGAAAACATGATGAAGGGCCTTTTAAGATGTACTTCAAGTGGAGAAACATGATCAAATGCCCTCTAAATGCCCCCCTCCAGTGGAGAAAACATGAAATGCCTTCTAAGATGCACTTCTAGTGGAGAAAACATGATAAAGGTCTCTATAGGATGTCCTTCCAGTGGAGACAACATTATCAATTGTCCACTATGGTGCCCTTCCACGAAATCTTGATTAAAATGCCCCCTAAGATGCACCTCCAGTGGTGACAACATGAAGTGCCCTCTTTCATAACGTTTAAGTGGATTAGAGATGATAAAATGCCCTTTATGATGCTCTTTCTTTGGAGAAAACCTGATGATGGTGCCACACTGTTTGCAGTCAGCCACCACAGCCTAAAGAAATACACTTACCTCATTAACATCACCTCACCACTGACCCCAATTAAAACAGTATGAATACAATGGCATCACTCACATCGCCTCCACCCCACACATCATATTAACAGTAAGTTAAATAACAAGATGCATCTCTTTCTATATCTCTCTATGAGAACATCTCAGAAGATTAAACACCTGTGCTGATAATTACCTGGGTAAACATGGCCGAGTGCATTAACCTATTTGTGAAAGCATGAGTAATGTCACCAGATGCCATATATCCATCAAGGGGTGGCAACAACAACTGATGCAACCAGAAGCAACGGATTAGCTGTGATCCGAGGTCAAAGCAGAACCCCATAGTAAATAATTCCTTTACTAGTTATTTTCAAAGCATGTTCCTCTGTCTTTCAAGTTTCAAGTCAGTAAACATGAATAGATGGAAACCAAATGTAATTAAATATATATATTGTTTCTTTCAGTGACTATATGCTGTTATACATTGTTAAAATGTCATCCTATGAGCTGCATATTACCATGTATAGGTCCACACCTGTTTTGCTGATACAAGGCTTTTCTGACCTCAATGTCTGTTTTACATTTATCTTTTAATAGTCTTATATTCTTGTGTTTTTTTATTATTTTATTAATAGTAAACATAGGGAAAGATTTTTTAAATTATTATATATTAACCATTTTATTCATTTGTATATATTTATTGTATTTTAATTGTATTTAGTAAATAAACATCATCATCCTAATCCAATTAGATAGTGATGATGTGTTCACTGCCCCTTTAAGACGGTAGTCAAAACAAAGCGTGGACTGTTTTTCCGGCCAAGCGGAAGTGGTTATTGTTGCGGTCTTTACCAACGTTAGTATGTGGGAAATGAGGGCTGCTATATTTATAAAAAACAGCTAGCTCTGTTAAAAATCGTATTCCATTTCATTAGGAATATTTGATGTTTCGTTATTATCATTTCCCCTGAACTAACCGCTAGCTTGTTAGCATCAGCAGCCATGCCGTCCTATTCTGAATTAAGGAAAACAAACCACTTCTACTACTTCATCAAATTCACCTTAAATATCTACTCAATGCTGTTTTCGGTAAGTTTCCTGTGCATTTGTTCACGTTATTATAGCTATTTTAATCTGCAACAGTGTCTGCTAATGGTAGTGGATGCGAAACACCCACTAGCATCACCTCGCCAAACCTCATACATAAAACTGTGAATTTAATGTTTTATATTTTCCTTGCTTATGCACTCTTGTTACCACATCATATTTTACATATTATGAATCTATACCATCTGTTGTACACATCGGCATGTATATCAGACAATGAGCACAACCATCTGGATCACAATTAGATTTTTAAACACGTATCTCCTCCATATAAAGCCTGTTTTCATCCACAGTTTTGGGCGTTTTTGTTGCAGCTTTGCTACAGATTTATTGAGATTAAAAGCCCCATGTTGGCTAGGACTCATGCCGTATTCACCAGAAGTCTATAGTGATTAACATGTAAGTCATACATTATGATATAAAACGTTTTTTGTTGATGTAGGGCCATGCTATGTTCAATTGTCATATTTTCTAATGGGATTTGGTGTGGGGTTTTGGGGCTACTAGCTAGCAAGATGCATGGTTAGCCTGCAAGATAAACATCATGCATCCTCATATTTGTTAATCCTTTCTTATTACAATCATGTTTGGCCATGTAATAATTCATTACAGTATAATTGGATGTTATTAATTGCATTTTTTTATTGTTTTTATCAGTATTAATCGATCACTGGTAGCAAACAGCACGGTGGTGCAGGGCGTTGGATGCAGTTAAAGGGAAGGCTGTGGGCAAAGAGATCTGCCGACAGAAAAGAGAAACAGGCTGAAAAGCGCCTTTTATTATTGATTTAAATCCAGCAGTGGTGTTAAAGTACTGTACTGAAGTACAATTTTGAGATACTTGTAAATTACTTGAGTATTTCCATTGTATGCTACTTTGTACTTCTATTCCACTACAATTCAGAGGTAAATGGTGTACTTCTACTCGACTACATGTATTTAATTCCTTTAGTTACTTTACAGATTTGGATGAATGATGTGAAATATAATCAAGTGTTAAATCAGACTTTAGTTCCACCTGGAGTAAATCCACAAGCTACCCTGCAGTATACAAAGTCATTCAAACTAGCTGCACCTTTACCAGCTTTGAGAACACTTTCATGATCAATCATTATAAAACATATCATATATATTATTCTGAAATGGACCAATCTGCACAATGACTACTTTTACTGTCGCTACTTTCACTATATTTTGATGATAATACTTTACTACTTTTACTTACATTTTGAATGCAGGACTTTTACTGTAACAGAGTATTCCTACACTCTGGTACTTCTACTTTTACTCAAGACCTGAGTACTTCTACTTTTACTCAAGTCGACGATCTGAGTACTTCTACTTTTACTCAAGTACAAGATCTGAGTACTTCTACTTTTACTCAAGTACAAGATCTGAGTACTTCTTCCACCTCTGCCATTCATGTTCATATTATGACTTCATATACTTTAATATATACTAATAATGCATATGGGAAATGTTATTTAAAGTACTTAATACTAGTTAAATAAAGGTACATTTGGTGTTGGTATTATTTCAAAACCAGTTTAAAAAACATGTCCAGGCATGTTCAGAGCCTTCTGGTTCATTGGAATCAAGGTCAACAAACTGATTTTTTTTTTTAATAAAATTTCCCTCCTCATCACTACCCAAACTGTTTTTATTGGATGATAAAATAGGATTGTAGCAGGTGAAGACATTTAAATGTATATTTTATCCAACAAAGCACAGGTATGTTAAGGACAATTATAATAAGATGGCCAAAGTGAGTCACATATTCAAGCAAAAGTTAAATAGAGTTTAGTATTTCACACTCTTTATAATCGTTTTCTCTTATTAACCCACACTTATATAGGGTGAATCAAAATCACATGACTTCTCAAATGTCCAATCACAAATGAGGGTGGAGCAACCTTCAAACAAATGTCCCACATTAGGCTAAGGCCTAGGCTCCACGGGGACGAAAACGGGTTGAATCTGCATATTTCTCATGCGTATAGCCCTTTAAGCTCGACGACGCCGTAACGGAAACGTAGAAACAGACCCCGCAAACGACAACGGGTCCAAAGGTGGATAGATCTGGGAACGGAGCGCTCTGGGGGGTCCAACGGGGCCGTGGGGTCGCCTATACGGTCATCCGTTTCATAGCCCCGCCTGTCCCCGCCTCTCCCCACCTCTCCCCACCTCTCCGCGTACCCCGCATCATTGCTGATGTGTTTCGTTAACAACAACAATAGCTATTTTAATTACCTCTCAAACTACCTAAACTAGTTATAAATATGTTTATTTTTACTGTCGAGTCATCATTACAGGATCAGCTGCTGCATGAGACAGACACTGACGCTGTGAGAAGAGAGGAAAAAGAGACAGGCTCTGTGTATTTTATTATCATATATCATTATATCGTCGTTATTCATTTGTTTTAAAGCTCAATAAATAACAAAGAAGACCTTTGACCGGCACTTTTATAATTTTGTCCGGAAGATTTAAACTTTAACACACGTTGACCGGCGAAAAACTCTGCCCGGTTCTGTCGGCCCCCACCGCGGAGAATACACAGAAGTGCAGCCATGACAACCATTCTTCTTCGCTGCTTTTGTGGAGGAAGTTGCTGCTTTTGTGGAGGAAGTTACAGCGCCACGTACAGGCTAGGCATATGTACTGCAGCTTTTCCAGCGTTTGGATGTAAACGGAGCTGTCTCGTGTAGCTTGACACAATCCGGTGTATATTGCGTGGGGGCGGAAGGTTTTTTGCGGTTGCGTTTGCGTTACTCCGATGCGTTTTGCCGTATGCGTTCCCATGGAGCTGGGGCCTAAATCACCCTAACTAAACACAAACATGCTTTTCTATGCAACTGTATGACTGTACGTGATAGGCTAAGGGGTGGGACATCTCTAAGCGGTTGACCAATCACAGCAGAGCCGGCCAGCTAACCAATCAGAGCAGACTGGGCTCTGGTTTCAGACAAAGGGTGAAAAGAGGTGCTGCAGCACAGGCACTATGAGAAAAATAAAGAGCTTTTTGAACATTAAAGCATGGAGACATGTCCCAGTAGAGACACTACATACTGATATACACCTGAACATCAGCAGGAGAGGACTCTTTAAAGTAGAGACACTACATACTGATATACACCTGAACATCAGCAGGAGAGGACTCTTTAAAGTAGAGACACTACATACTGATATACACCTGAACATCAGCAGGAGAGGACTCTTTAAAGTAGAGACACTACGTACTGATATACACCTGAACATCAGCAGGAGAGGACTCTTTAAAGTAGAGGACACTACATACTGATATACACCTGAACATCAGCAGGAGAGGACTCTTTAAAGTAGAGACACTACATACTGATATACACCTGAACATCAGCAGGAGAGGACTCTTTAAGTAGAGACACTACATACTGATATACACCTGAACATCAGCAGGAGAGGACTCCTTAAAGTAGAGACACTACATACTGATATACACCTGAACATCAGCAGGAGAGGACTCTTTAAAGTAGAGACACTACATACTGATATACACCTGAACATCAGCAGGAGAGGACTCTTTAAAGTAGAGACACTACATACTGATATACACCTGAACATCAGCAGGAGAGGACTCTTTAAAGTAGAGGACACTACATACTGATATACACCTGAACATCAGCAGGAGAGAACTCTTTAAAGTAGAGACACTACATACTGATATACACCTGAACATCAGCAGGAGAGGACTCTTTAAAGTCTTCCTGCCTGTCGGCTCTGCTCATGGATGTATAATAAGGCTCTGCTGCTCCGGGATGATGGTCTAGCTTCAGCAGCTACATTACCTACGGTGCGTTCGTTAATATTAACTGAGCGGTCCGGAGTCACTGTGGCACAGACTGGACCGCTGGTGAACAGCTGTTAGAACGGGCCTGTCGGAGCGGCAGAGCGTGATGTGCACTGAAAAGTTTTTCTGTCGCAATATTATTTAATGAATCGTTGAGCTAGCTAACTAGCATACATTGTCACTATCTGCTAACGTTAGCTTTAGCCTTCGTTTTCAAATAGTTTCTTTCATAGCCTATAAACGGAGGTGGTATAAGTATATATCTTGTACTTGAGTAAAAGTAGAAGCACTCAGATCTTGTACTTGAGTAAAAGTAGAAGCACTCAGATCTTGTACTTGAGTAAAAGTAGAAGCACTCAGATCTTGTACTTGAGTAAAAGTAGAAGTACTCAGATCTGGTACTTGAGTAAAAGTAGAAGTACTCAGATCTTGTACTTGAGTAAAAGTAGAAGTACTCAGATCTGGTACTTGAGTAAAAGTAGAAGTACTCAGATCTGGTACTTGAGTAAAAGTAGAAGTACTCAGATCTTGTACTTGAGTAAAAGTAGAAGTACCTGAGTGTAGGAATACTCTGTTACAGTAAAAGTCCTGCATTCAAAATGTTACTTAAATACATGTTATTAAATACATGTAGTGGAGGAAAAGTACACCAGTTACCGCTGAACTGTAGAGGAGAAGAAGAACAAAGTAGCAAAACATTGAAATAGTTAAATAAAGTACAAGTATCTCAAGATTGTACCCAAGTATAGTACTTGAGTTTATGAACTTAGTTACTTTACACCACTGGCTATAAAGATAGAAAGACTAAGCCTTGCACAGAGGCATGAAAATACATTTTCAAAATGCTCAACAGTCCTGCCAAAATTATAAACTGACTGCTACACAATTAAAATAAATGCTTAAATATATTTCTATTAGATGTGACTCTTTGGCGTTTTCTGTTATTAACACTGGCTGCTTTAGTTGTTCTGACTGCTAACATCCTGTTATTCCTCATTTTAAAGCCGATATTCCGTGGGGTCGGGGGGCTCGGATCCTTGTCACCTTTTTCATACCTGATGAGTTTGCATCCCTGAATAGGGCCTCTTTAACTTAGGAAAGGTTGGACAATAGGCTTTTATGACAGATTCATATTATTTTTTACTTCATTTGAAAG